TGCCAGCAGGAGCCACCCAGCCTAAGAGAGTCACATTTCCTACCCCTCCCCATTCCCCCAGATGCTGCTGAAGCAACCCCAAACAAAAACTCCCCTATAACTAAGGGAAATGGAGCCTCCTGCACCCTAATAAATGGCTTTTGAGTACAGCCACACCCTTCCCTGGCAGTCAAAACAGGCTTCCCCAGCAGCTCCTCTAGCCTCAACTCCAAGGCTGGGATTGTGGCAACAGCCAAAGCTAGGGACCCTAGTGGCCTTGGCTACTTACTGAGGAGCAGGGTAGCATGTGGAAACTAGTGGAGAAAGTCTGTGAGGTTATACACGTACACACACACACACACACACACACAATCTGAATGCTCAAACATCTGTTGCATGCAGGTCACCTTGGGGTACAGGAATACATGGAAGCCCTCAAAGACCATGCAACCTCAGGCCAACAGGCTGTGTATGCCCTCTGGCCCCTGCCCTCCTCCAGGACATCTCAGGCTACTGTGACCTGCCAGGCAGAAGGCTCTGCTCTCAGGCCTATGTCTTGTACATCCACAGGCCTCCTTGAGGCCCTTCCCCCTAAAAAAAAAAAACAATGGCACAGGACTGATGAAGGGCTGTCCATGGTCAGAACAGTTTTAGTCTTTTGCAATTATAAAGGACAAACTGCTCTTAACTCAAACTGGGCTCACAAGCTTGGCTTTCCCAAGATCCAATAAGCCCAGATGGTGATACCATCCTCCACACTCCAGGTCTTATAGTGGGGATGATTTTATTCCATATCAGGATCAGAGATGAGTGAGGTGATTGGGCCCCCCAAATAGAGTTGTGCCCTCCACCTCCCCTAAATACATAGACCAACATTCCCAAAGGGCAAAGACCACGTCTCCCCAATCAACACAGCCTCATGGTAGATTCCCTGTCTTCCCACCCAAAAACTTTTACTTGTTGTTCTTTCCTTCCCCTCTCCCAATATGCTCAGGGCAATTCAGCTGAAGATATAATTCATATGGATAGCCTGAAGGTCAGATAGATCTAAGTGGCCCACCTGACCACAAGGGGAACAAAGAGAAATAACCACTGCCACCTCATCCCCTACCTCTGTCAGGGGGAGTCAGAGAAGCAAACAGACACATCCACAAACGAACACTAGGAAGGATGCCGGAGATAAAAAGAAAAAAGAAAATCCATAGAGAAGCATCTCTGAGGATTTTTAGACCCATAAAACCATGATGATCCAAGAATGGTTTTATTGAGGTAAATGGGTTATAATCGGTTAATTTGCTTATTATGTTAGTATCTGTTTTGAAAACTTCCTTCTCAATTGAAACCTCCAATAAGATCCTTCACCTCAGGTGGGGACCAGGTTTGCTGGTCTGATAGAGTCTGGTGGAACCACTGAGACTATGGCCTCTAGCTGCCCTTCAGGTCTGGAATTGAACCAACACCTGTGATTTCCAGCCAAACAAAAGACAAGCATGTGAGTTGAACATTTACCTCAAGTAGATACACTCCTTGGAGAGAACAACCATGGGAGAAAGAAGAGCTGCTTATGCACAGGGAGACAGCTCAGGGGGCAGGAGTGTATGGAAGGATGGACACTGGGAAGAGGTAAGTATGGGGAGGAAGTGGGAGGGGAGCTATTGCATTGTGGTAAACTGTGGTAAATGACATGAGACAAAGTATATATGAACTGCTGTATGGAAAGTGAATTTGCTCTGTAAATCTTCACCCAAATCACAATTCAAAAAAAAAAAAAAGATCCTTCACCTCAAGGAGTTCCCCATTGGCAAAGGGCCTCCAGGGCATGCTGAGCCACCTACAGCCCCAGTTACCACCATCACATAAAGCAGGGCCCCTAGAGTAACCCCAACACTAATATTTGAGGGCTTGCTATGTATTCGGAACTATACTAAGCCTTTTGCAGATAATATCTTATTTGGTCTGATCAACTCTGATTATTATCATGACCTTTTCAGAAATGAGGAAATGGGTTAAGTAATATGGCTGCTAGGAAGTGACGGCACTAAGTCAAGGACCAGTACCCAGTTCTTAAACTCTGTGCTGCCCTGCTTTTCCAAGAGGGCAGAGCTGCCTGGGAAGAGAGCTGCAGAGTTACAGGGCTATCTCAATTTGGCTTCACCACTGCAGACGCCTCCCAAACCCAACCCTAGCTCTTGTGCCTCTATCAGCAAGAAGCATGATGGAGGGCTGTGTATCCTTCCACCCAGAGTCTGGGGCTTTTCAAGGCTCTGAGTTCTAATTGTCTCACCTCACCACTTGAGAGGCTCTTCCAGAGCAAAGGTGTCTCCCAGACTAGAGCTACCAGCATTGTCACCAACCCTTTCCTCCACCATCACTGCTATTCATTGACTACCTACTATGCCCAGGGATCGCACTAGATACCTGCATTCTCATTTTATCCTTTATATCAACTCTAGGAAGCAACTATCCCCCACTTTACAGAGGAGGGACCTGAGAGATACCAAGAGTTTAAGTGGCTTGCAACAGAGTAGCAAATTGGGGATTATTGTTGTAGTTGTTGTTGTTATATGCCCTGGAGTCAGGCAGACTCATAGCTACCCCTCCTTGGGTTTCCCAGGCAGTATCACTACTGTAGTAGATTGCCCCATCTTCCTTCCAAGGAGTGGCTGGTGGGTTTGAACCGCCAGCCTTCTGGTTAGCAGTCAAGTGCCTTAGGCACTACACTACCAAAGCTCCCAGTTTGGGATTAGACTTTATTCAGAACAACTCCAATTCCACAACCTCTCTTCACCTCCCCAAACTTAATCATGAGGCTGTCCTTCCTTAGTCAGGTTCTCTTAGTGTCACTTGTATCTCCATATGCCCTCCTTGAGACTACCACAGCTGGCTCCTGAAGTTGTAACAGTGAGTGCTATGCTTTTCCACCATTTTCCAAAGTTGAAGAGAGTATGCTCTGGTCTTTCTCAGCAAGGTCTTGGCCTCTCCCCCACCAGGCAAGATATGAGCTCACTATCTCAACAACCCATGCCAGGTGGAGTGAGGCAGGCCAGGGTGCTCCAGGAAATGCCACCAGGAGTGGTCAGTGGGCATGCTGCCTGGTCAGGTCCTGGTGAACTGAAGGATCTGGCCTATTTAACAGATTTTCCCCTGCCCACCACAAGTGCCTGCCCCATGCAGGTTCTAAAAATAACTCAAGTTCATGCATCAGAGGAAATGAAGCCAGGTGGGTGTGGAAAGATCCTGGTGGAAAAGATGACTTCTATAAAGTAAATCAAGATTCCTGTCAGATCAAGGGATGGCAAGTGAAATACTCCTAAAAGGACTGTCCTTGTCTGAAAACAGGCCCACCTGGGCCTATGGGCATAGTCAGCTCAGCTGAGGCGGATCCAAAGGACACAGGAAAGCAAGGGCAGGAACTGAAAAAGTCACTGACCTCAGAGAAGCCCCTCCCCAAAAGCAGAGACTTGGGGCAGGGGGGCATCATCTGCCTCCTCCCACCAGATATGCCATCTACCTAGTCTGGTCAGGTTAGCTGAGCAGTGGAGGGTAAAAGACTGGGGAAGAGGTGGAGTAGACTTGAGAATAGGCACCTCTTTAGAAATAAAAAAAGGGTTAAGAGATCTAGAGGTATGTTTTCCACCCCACACCCACATCCTTGGGTTCCATAAGCCAGGAAAGAGGGAGAAGACAGGAAAGGGATGGAAAAAAACAAAACAAGGGCCAAGCTATACCACATGATCCCACATTTAGCAACCAAACAGCAAGTCATGAGGGAAGGAAGGGGGAAGGCCAGGTGAGAGGGAAGTGCAGTTGGGTCACAGCCCTGCCTGGAATCTGCCCTGTGCCAACTCTGCTTTCCATCTCATGCCATGAAGAAAGCCATAATGCACTCCCCACCTACATCTTGAAAAAACTTCAAGGTCAAATCCTTTTCTACCCAAATTCTTCCTGGTTTCATTTGGGTCTGCACCAGGCTTATCCTTCTCTTCCAGCAAATCTTCCTAAATTTACTCAGTTGGATGCCATACAGCTCAGCAAACTTTTCCAGCACCTCTCCCCACCCCAAGCACATTTTCCTTACCCTCTCCACACACGGTTCACCAGGCCCAGGGGAAGCCATTACTCCCAGTTAACCTCGTGAGTGATCCACAGCAAGTTGTCAACCCTGGGGACTGGCTTCCAGATCCAACCCTAGCCCAAAACAGGAAATGGGCTCCAAGTCTAAACCCTTGATCTCAGCACCAGGAAGGATAAATACTGCCAAAATAAATTACTAAAAAACCCATGGGCCATTCTAAGTGGAAGTGACTGAGATAGTCTGCTGTTGTGCATTAACCATGCCACTGCCTCTACCAGTAGGGCTATTAAAGGCTGACTAAACTGTTTTCCTTTCTTTGCTCAGGAAGTTCTCCTGTCCTCAGCCCAGGGGCCCACAGCGGCAGGACGCAGGGAGGTGTCTCCAGATTCCTTAGAATACCTGAGAAGTAGACAAGAGGGATGCCCTCAGCAACCTCTAGATTTAGTCAGGACACCTCTACATAATTTCCCCTTGGAAAACAACAGCACACCTTCCCTTCCTCCAGGGTGATGACGAGGCTCTCTACTCCCCTGCGGGCCCTGCGCCCACACAGGCACCAAGAAGTTCTCCTCCCCTTCGAGGAAAGGGAGGGCGGCCCGGAGAACCTAGGGATGACCTCAACATTTTTCTGCTAGAGGCTACCACAGCCCAGTAGCCTGTGGATCCCACTCTTAAACTTTACTTAACAATCTACTCACAGCGCTTAGTTCCTTCCCACGCTTCCTGCAGATGTCTGAAGGGCCCACCAGTGGCCAACCTCAGCACAATGCACGTTTGGGGGACTGCAGGGAAGCCCCGAAAACTGAAGAACCAACCTGTCGGTTTATACCTTTGAGCGCGAGCCAAGAGATGCACTGCCCCGAATCTCGTTTGGCAGTGCTCCGCCATCAGCCCCGCCCAGTTAGACCCTTAACCGTTTCCACGACCCCCGGCGACCCCCACTCACTCAGTGTGCTGGGCGCGGCCTGCGCCAAAGACCTCGTCCAGCGCCACCTTGGTCTGGCCCAGGAACTTATCGACGCCGATGAGCGAGCGGTGCATGGTGGTGAGCACCAGCTCGCAAGCGGTGGCCGGGCCCGCGGCCCAGGGTGCCGGGCCCACGTCGGCCTCTTGCATCCGCAGCAGGCTGTCCAGGGCGCCGGCCGGCAGCTCGAAGGAACACTCCTCGCGCCATTCAGGACAGCCTTGCGTCTTCTCCACCACAGACGTGCTGTACTTCTCGCGGCCCAACTGGATTACTGTGTACGCGTCGCTGGTGCTGCCCGCGCCCGAGCTCTTGCCCCGCAGCCCCCGGGCCCGCAGCACCGTCACTTGGACGTGCGTGGGCAGCCAGCGGGAGGGCCCCGCTACCGGATCGGCGCCCCGCACCAGGGCCATAGCGGGTAAAGCGGCGGCGGGCGAGCGCTGGCCGAACCGGGCACTGACACCGGGACCAAGTAAGTAACTTGGCAACGACG